GCGGGCGGGCGGGCGGGCGGGGCGCTACGTACCGATTCCTCGGGCGAAGTACTCTCGACACAAGTGGAGGTCGTTTTCACAGGATATTAAAATTATTTCTGACAAACTCTACGGAAAAGAAAACGAGCCCCCGTGACTAAGCCGTGAATCTCGTCCGTGGCGGAGGCGGGCTCAGCGCCGCGGCTCCCCCGTCACCTTGTTCTGCTTGTGCTCCATGAGCCTCCGGAAGGACGGCTGCCGGGACAGCACCCTGCCCCCCGCGCACTCCACGATCGCCTTCATGGTCGCCAGACTCGGGCAGATGCCGGGTGTGATGTAGAAGTACTTCGCCTGAAAGTACAACGAGCAGGTGAGCGCTGCGCTGTGAACGCTCCTCGGCCTCAGAGCACGCGGCTCCTGCAGGCCTGCACGGCGCTTTCTGACGGAACGTCTCACTTCACGGCGCTGCACAGCGCGCGCCCCTCCCGGTCCGCGCGCGAGACGCGAGTTCAAGCACTTGCACAGGTTAGTGCCGTCTATGACTAAAAGCAACCAGAACTTACTGTGTTCCTAAAAGACAGGAAGTAGGAACACTTTTGTGATAAAAGCAAGAATGACAAGAACATCTTTCACAATTTCTGTAAATTCTACATTGTATTCATGTTTACTTGTCGGAGAGACTGGCAAAGCACCTGTATTCCTTTCTTTATGATTTGGGCTCAAATAGAGCAGGAAATGATGTCAGTGGTTAAGGTAATTTTCTAACACCCTTGCTTGTAACTGTACCAAACAATACTATTTTGTTTTAAATTGCTCATAGGAAAAAAGTTAAAAACTCAGATATTTAGAAAAACCGGACTTTAGGTAGCATGCTCGTAACTTATTTTGCAAATCATTTCTGATTCCTAAGTTGGCTCAAGAGGGTAAAAAACCCTTTTTTAACTTGGCCACTGACACACACACAAATTTCAAACTATTCTATCTTATCTAACGAGTATTTAAATATTTCAGTCTTGAATTATTAGGCACCCATTCAGTTAATATTTTTCCAAGAATGTTATCCACTCTCCAGCTGAATATACGTTTAAAGAGAACAGTACTAAGTAACAAAGCAGAAAATTCAATTTAAATGTCTTACAATTAAGTTTTTCATAAGCACACTCTCCGAGCCCGGGTCTGTAACACATCTCTCTCACAGATCTCTGTTCACCTTTCTCCGCCCGACGAGACGCGGTGGGGAGCAGCACTCGGAGGCCCCGGGCTTCTCCGGTGGGGGCCCCCAGCAGCACAGCCCAGGAGGACCAGCGCGAGAAGGATGCCGGGAGAAGCCCGCGCCTCGGAAGAGCCTGCCGCTGTGCCCCGTCCCCGCAGCCGCGCTGCCTGGAGCGTCTAGGTGGCCCATGACTTCCCTTCCAGCTGTACCTTAAAGAGCGGAGAGACGTGTGCCCTCCTCAAGGACTCTTCCAAACTGAAGGAGAACAGCACCTCAGCCTCGGCGTCTCGGAGGAGGTAGTTCTGCTCATCTGGAAAACAGAGCAGCGCACGCTCGGAAAAGCGGCCGGCGCCCGGGACGCACGTGTGTGGCCTGCTCTGGGGCTCCCGGCCGGCAGGCGTTTCCCTGTGAAACCTTCGAACACGTAAGTCTCACCTATTACATTTCACTTGCTACCCGCCTGAAAACAAGCAGGCCAAGGGAAGACATTCCTCCTCCTAGGTCAGTGTTTCTTAGCTTCTTGGAAAAGATGTACTGAGAGCTGTGGCCCCACCGCCCCGCCCCCGGCCCCCTCACCGTTTTAGGGAGTTTCCACGCTCTCCAAGCCCACAGGCCCCAGGTTAAGACCCCAGTCCCAGAGGGACAAGCTGAAAGCTGTTGTCACACCCAGGGTGTGATGTAAGGACACAGTGACTTAGAGACATTAGACTCAATCATCTGAGAATCAATTAAATTTTATAGATTTACTAAAAACATTCCTTTTTAAGTATGTGAATGTGCAGGGCAGTTTATAAAGGATGGTCTTGCCAAGTTTTGAAGGTTTCTGAATTAGTCAAAAGATCGCAGTGTGTTTTCGTCTTCTCATGAGTATGTCTCAGGTTCCAAAAACAACCAAGAAGTGTAATGCCAAGGGTTCAAGACAGGGGGCGTCTTGGGTGGGGGGCTGGCCAGGTGACACCTGCCGCAGGACTTACAGGCCACATACTGTTTCCGTTACATGGCCTTTAAAAAAAATGCTTTAAAAACGTAAAGACCGTTCTTAGTTCACTTCTGAGCAGAGCGATCATTATCACTAAGGAGACGCTGAAAGGAGACGCTGAGGTCTGTTTCACAACTGCTAGACATACAGGGTCATCCAGCAGGTGAATAAGGCTGCTGCACCGTGTCAGGTGGAGGAAGAATCACCAAGAAGCGATGAATTAGAAAACAAACTGCTGTCACACATGAAATATTTGAAATGTCAGCTTCTTGGGCAAAAGTAAAGGTGGCAGGCCTTCTGAAGAACCGTGAGGATCACCAAGGAGTTAGTACTTGTTCTCTCATCATAAATGACACTGAGTAACAGCAGTAAACCAGTCCTGCCCCAGCTGCAGCTGGCATTCTGCTCTTTGAAAAGGAACAGGTGAGTTACACTGACTTGACGGAGTGGTCCTTTGAGGGCTGTGTCACGACCAGCCAGAACGTCCCCGTTCGTAGGAAACAGGCTCAGGTGTCAGGGGTAACAGTACCGCAATTTGGCAACGTGCTCCTGGTCCAGCAGTCACACTGCTTGGTTCGTAGCCAAAGGAGCTGAAAACTTACATCCACCCACAAGCCGCACACAGGACTCAGCTGCATCTGTGAAACCAGAAGCTCGGGAGCAGCGTGATGCCCTTCAGTCGGGGAGTGCTCAGACTATGGAACAGGACTCGGGGCTAAACAGAAATGAGCTGTGAAGCCAGAGGGACACGGGCGGCGCTTAAATGTGTGTCCCTAAGTGAAAGAAGACAGTCTGAACAGGATGCATCTTATATGATTCCACCTCTAGGACATTCTGGAAAAGGCAATTACTATAAACTAGAAAAGTTCTCTTAAGAAATCCTGAAACTTGAAGGATCAAATATGAAACGTTTGGCTCATTAGCGTTGCATGTGAAATGGTTACAGTATGACTGAACCACCTCATGACCCTCAGATCAACACGACAAGCATTAATGCCATATAGAAATTAAAGTCAACCAAACACCTCTCATCAAATAAGAAATGTTATAAAGCTTATAAGCAGATAAAAAATGTTTTTACAAACTGGTAAGCTTGATAATTAAGCCCCTCGCATTTCATTTAAAGAACAGGCTCTCACTGTGAATGTTATAACTTACACAGGACTGAGCACTGACACCCACACTGACGGGAGCTGTCCCTGCGTCTCCCTTCTGCCTGCCCTGTTCCCAGGGCCCGGGGCCTTCGGGTCACTCGTGGACAGGCGTGGGGCCCCCGCCGGGCGCATGGTCCAGCTCACTGTCCTGCTCGTGGCATGTTTAGCGCCACTCTCTCCACGGTCCTGTGTGTCTGTCGGTGGCCCTGCTGCTCCGTCGGCCCCTGAGCATCGTGCTGTCCAGCCCCGAGGGCCAGAGGCTGTCCGGCCTCGCGGAGCAGTGTGGCCTCGTTCAGGCGGAGTCCAGCATGATGGCCGGGAGTTCAGTGTTAACAAATCGAGGAGATAGGGACCCCTGAATGACACGGGGTCTGGGGTGCCAGCCCGCTGCCTCGTAGTCAAAAATCTGCTTATAACTTTACAGTTGGCCCTCCATGTCCTCGGATTCAACCAACTGTGGGTCGTGAGGTCTGTACACATTAATTGAAAAAAATCTGCATATCAGTGGACCGTGCAGTTCAAATCTGTGTTCAGGGATGAACTGTGTATGCCATGAGGCGTCATAAGCCACACACATGCAACAAGGTTTTACTGACACAGACAAGGTGCTGTACCACCAGCTGAGGACAAGGTGACTGAGGCTCACAGGAACCCCCCCTCAAGAGCCACGGGTCAGCGTGCACTCAGTCCGTCATCACTGTAGCCACTTTAGAGAACACGGCACCATGAGTAACAAGAATCAGCTATTACTGCGGGTGTAGTTTTTGATTTATGTATTTATTTTACAATATATTTTAAAAATTGAAGTACAGTTGATGTACAATGTTACATGTTACAGGTGTGTAGGATAGTGATTCACAGTTTCGAGGGTTATACTCCGTTTATAGTTGCTATAAAGCACTGGCCACGTCCCCCCTGCTGCACAGCACGTCCGTGCAGCTTATTTTACCCTGAGACTTTGCACCTCTTACTCCCCCCTCCGCCTTGCCCCTCCCCCTCCCCTCCCCCTCCCCACTGGTACCACGAGTTCCTTCTCTGCCTCTGTGAGCCGGTTTCTTTTCTGCTATATCTGAGTCGGAGA